ACTCCCTTTCAACACTGATAATGTTCCCTAGTTGGGTAATGAAACATCTGCAAGAAAACCATCAAGCTCAGAGAGCATTAAAGAGCTCACAGTCTCCTCCTCCTCCTCCTCCTCCTCATTTCCAAAAGTTCCACTTCCTTCCAGCACTGATAATGTTCCCTAGTTGTTTAATGAAACGTCTGCAAGAAAACCACCAAGCTCAGACAGCACCAAGGACCCCACAGTCATCCTCCTCTCCTCCTCTTCCTCCAGAAACCATACTCCCTTCTAGCACTGATAATGTTCCCGAGTTGGGTAATGAAACGTCTGCGAGAAAATCCACCAAGCTCAGAGACCCCCCCCCCCTCATTTTAACCCTGATAAGATTCTCTTATGTCAGAAAGATTAAATTTAACAAGTCCTCCCCCACCCCATTAACGTTGGTGAAGGAAATATGATCTGGTACCTTTATGAGACTGGTAACACCTGAGAACGATGTTTGCCTTTCTCTTTTCTTTTTATGCTTCGCGGCTTTCAGGGAAATATTTGACTAGGCTGTGACCTGTAGCGAGATTTAATAGCTACCCGTCAGCTACCTGCAATTTTTTTCTGGCACTTTTCCATACTTCTTCCTGATTAAACAATAGCCCTTCAGCACTTCTTCCAGGGAATTCAAAACATGAGGTCAGAACTTCGTTTTTTGTCGAGAAAAAAAATTAATTAATTAAAAGTGCCCATGTAGATTTCCCTTGAATTGCGGACATTTTCTGGTATCACCTTCATTTCAATTTTGGTGACTTAAAGCAGAGTTCTCGACCTCTTACTGAAAGAAATTAGCTGATTTCCACACACCAGTAGTCCCTGACTTACAACCATTTGTTTGGTATCTGAAGTGATTGCAGCATTGAAAAAACAGTGACTTAGGACCGTTTTTTGGTCATTTATGATGCTCGTATTGTCCTGGGATCACGTGATCCCCTTTTACGACGTTCTGGCGAAGCACAGTCAAAGCCAGACTTAACAACCATCTGACTAGCGTAACTACTGCAGTGCTCCACTTAACAACTGTGCAAGAAAGGTTGTCCAGATTGGCGAAACTCACTGAACAACCATCTTGCTTAGCCGAGGAAAAGTTGGCCTCATTTGTTGTTCGTAAGTCAAGGACCTACCTGTACATTTTGATGAATAATACGATCAAATAAATCTGGCTTGCTAAAGACCGTGTTCTGACCAAGGCTTATTGAGACACTAACAAACACACATTAGTCCCAACCCCCCCTTTTTTTTCTTTATTTCAACAGCTGTGAATTATAGTCATTCACAGCCCAGAATGAGTTTCACACAGTGTGTAAATAGTCCCATGGAAGTCTCCCAAAGTCCTTCAGGATAAGTCTGATAAGTACCCACCTTTATCAACCCACCTTTATCTAAATGCTGCCAACGACTAAATGTCCAGTTGGTTATATGAGGCCAAAAGGGAACACAAATTCAACACGGAGCTTCAGGCTTCAAACCGACCAGGATGAACAAAGTTGCTTCCTGCAAAGGTTCCTATCCCTTTGCTCCCCCTTTATGTCTTATGGGAGGGGCCAATCACCTCCAAGCCTTACTCCCAAGTCACCCCTTTTGTCTTAACTGTTCTTGCCTTCTGGCAGCTCTGCGCATGCACACACTGGGAACAGGCTCCCCTTGTTCCTCTGCCTCACTGCTGCCAGACTCTGGAGGCTCCAGAGTCAGCACATAACTCCCAGATGGCCCTGGCCCCATCTCTGTCTCGGATGCAGGACCCTCGTCTGAGTCCTCCCCAGTCTCCCAGAGTGGTTCCCATCCTTCCCCACCGTAGGCTGCCAGCGGACCACAACACACTGGGGAAATTAGGCCCTCAAAATACTTTGTGAAGCACATCTGGATGGTGGGTTGAGCCTGGCTGTTGCTGGTCTCCACCATGAGGGTTTTAATATTTTATTTGTGCCTGATTCTTGGAGCATCTGATGGCTGGTGCGTAATGCACAGGCTGCGTTCCTGGTCTGAAAGTAATTGAAGTGTGTCACAATGCTAGTTATCCTATTGACAGCTCCCCCTCCCATAAATGCGTGTCACTTAGGTTAAAACGCCTCCCTGGGAGCTCTGCTTTCTCACTTTCGCGGTCTAATTCCTCGGGGTGGCACCAATGTTTGAAAGAAATCCATAATTACGATGCGTTGTGAGGCTGGCGGCTCAGCGTCTACCCAATGCTTTTGGGGTGAGCAGGTGCATTTCGTATTCTGGAGAGCATGTTGTTCGTGCAAAACAAACCAAAGAGCAGGAGGGGTGATCTCTGGATTCCTAGATCCCGGGAAGCAAACATCCGTAGACCTTTCTGGTTTTCTAAGAAGGCTGAGTTGCAAAGACCTTGAAAATCCAAAGCGGGTTTTTGCAGCGTGGCACGTTAACTTCCCTGTTCGTTCTTTAGTTATTCTTCAAAAGATCTTTCGACATCAAAATAGGTAGGGTCAACAGCCCGCCAGGAAGCCAAGAATGTGCTGGAGAATACTGATTGAGAGTCTCATTGTAAAACCACGGTTAATCTGTCAGTCAGCTGGAAAGAGAATCAGGAAATGCAATTTTTAGGGAGCATGGAATATAACAAAAGCAGGAATATATAGGCAAGCATGTGTTAATAAAGAATATTAAGGCCCAGCTATGTCTTGAAATGTTTCACCTCACCGTGCTGGAGATGTTCAAAATCCCTCTTGACTTGCAGAAGTGCAGTCACGTTCTGCTTGAGTGGCTTGGGGCTCGAATAAAAGGGCAGAATTGGCTGGGGTGAAACGGAGGGCTTTTGCAGCCCTTCGCAAAGGCGAGCCATTGATTGCAAAATGCTTCACACTTTGAAAAAAAGTTTCCTTCTGAACTTGCAGGGCAGTTAGCTGAATAATCAGAAGATAGGCGAGGGAACTGCGAAGGGGTATGTGTGTCAAATGTCCCTCGATACATCTCCGACTCAAACAAGCTTCTCTCCGTTCCTGCTTAAAGGTTTTCTGCCTTGAATTTGTTCCTACATATTACATATCCCTCTTGCATGAACTAACGTGGCTTGTTTTCAAGAAAACAGAGTTACAGAAAAGGGGATTTAGGGTGGCACGGGAATTCGGCCACAATCACTCTGTCAAGGTTCCCAAAAGATGTAGCCCAGTTCCCAAAAGCTTGCGCCGTACGATGAGGACACTGTGCAAATCAACGATGCGCTTTCTTGGCAGAGAAGGCTGCGCTGTGAAGCCGCGTCCAGTGCTGCTTTGTCGCAACTCCCTTAAGCAGCACATCTGTCATGCATGTCGCTCGAAAAAGTGTTCCGTTTTTCCTACAGCTCACCCCCGATTCCAGATGTTGGGAATGGAGGAGAGGGGTGGCAAAAGTCTTTGCAGAATTGCCGTGGGTGCCCTTGGGAGAGAAATGCAGGAACAACTTCAAGAGAGCGGCCAAGCAGGGTTTTCCCAGTTCAGACAGGAGGTTTTGAATGGACTGTGAGAACAACCTTGGCAGACAGAAGGTAGGGCTGCAGCCAGATAAGGGGCAGCAGAGCCCTCAGAAGAAAAAGGGGTGTGGGAAGCATCTCAGAAAAGACTCTTTCTTTGTTCCCTGCAAAGTAAAGAAAGAAAGAAATGCTTTCAGACTTGCAAGATTCAGTTACTATAACCTTACAGCGAAGGTAAAGTTAGTATTTATGGTTTGTTTTCTCATTCTGGACTACTTGAGAGAGTTTGATAACTGCTAACATTTTTTTTTCCCTTTCCCTCAAATATCTCAAGTGCATGGAAGTGACCGAAAGGCAATTTTGGGGGTGCATGTCTAAAGTGTGTGTCTTTTGCTCAACGGGCAGGCTTTTCCTGGACTGGGATGTTGGAATGGTTCTGGATGGTGATTCGGTGCATTTCGGGCTCAGAGCTGGCTTTGCTTCATGCTTGAGCAAGGTGTGAAAAAGAATCAAGGCTCAGGGATTGTGTTTTTTTGCTTTCCTTTCCCAGCCCAATAACCTCCTCCAGAGAAAGAACTCCAATTAAGGATTCTTACATGGTGAAAAAAAACCTTATTTCTCTTTTACGAGGCCTTTTTGCACTTCAGAAGGGCATCAAAAGGCCGTTTTGGAGAAGCTGTGAAATTTAATGAGGCTGCCAGTATTGATATTCTGCGGAGGGGTCCTTGATGTTCTCTGAACTGGGAGGTTTTCTTGCAGGCGTTTCATGAGCCAACTGGGGAACATCATCAGTACTATAAGGAGTTTAGAGAGCACTGAGGACCCTTCCTCTTAAGATGCGTTCATTCTGGGCTAAATTAATTCACAGATTAAATCTGTGTGTTTTTTTTTGTAGGCTTGGTTCCAGTTTAGGGGACATGAAATTCTATGGAAAGTAAAGAAAGATGGATTTGGGTTTTGCTCCAGGCAGGACCAGTGGTGAGATTCAGCCAGTTTGCACCAGTTCAACAGAATCAGTTGTTAACTTTCTGAGCAGTTTTGGTGAACTGGTTTTTGGAAGAAATCATTAGGGCGGAGAACTGGTCGTTAAATTATTTGAATCCCACCACTTCCCCCTCCCTTCTGATTTCTCATTTCCACGTGGGAACTATTAACCCTACTTTTAATATGCAGATAATCCCCATTCCCCCACCCCCCAAGTCACAGGCAGCTCCATTTACCCTCTTGGGGGGACCCTCAAAATTCTTTGGGGGTGATGAAATGCCAGGGGAGGGGGGGGGAATCCAGTCATCTTTCTTTGGGTCTTTGGAAACAGCTTCTCCCATTTGAAGTCTGTCCTTCTCCAGGTAGGGAAGGATTCAGTGCTGGGATTCAGCCGGTTCTCACCGGTTCACGAGATCCGGTTGTTAACTTTCTGAGCAGTTTGATGAACTGGTTGTTGGAAGAAATCATTAGGGCAGAGACAGGTTGTTAAATTATTTGAATCCCACCATTGGGAAGGACCTCCTTAAAGCAAACTTTCCCACCAATCTCTCTCTCTCTCTCTCTCTCCGCACTTTGATTGCAGGAAATGTCCGCCTTCGTTGTCGTTTAAGCAGCCTCCGGTAAAGGTCTCCGGGCTCACCTTCCCGACCGGATTTCAAAATGCTCATAAAAGAGTATCGGATTCCTCTCCCCATGAGCGTTGAGGAATATCGGATTGCCCAGCTGTACATGATCCAGGTTGGTGCCTTCATCGCTTGTGATCAGTTGCTTTCCTAGAAACACAATAATAATAATAATGATGATAATGATAATTGTCAGAAGGAAAGAATCAGGAGCACACGTTAAGCTCCAGTGAATCTGATTTATTGCTCATGCAAAAAAAACTTGCACCTTGTCTGTCTGTCTGTGTCTCTCACTTTCTATCAATCTATCTCTAATTCTCTGTCTCTATATCTATATCTCTATATATCTATTTACCAATCATCTATATTTCTATCTGTCTTTCTATCTGTCTATCCTCTATATCTCTTTATCTCTACCAATCTATTCATCATCTATATTTATTTCTGTCTCTCTGTCTCTCTCTCTCCTATCTTTTCTCTCTCTCTCTCATTATTAGATATAAGATTAGATTCTAATCTATATTTATCTATCTATCCTCTATCAATCTATCTATCTGTCTATCTATCTATCTATCTATCTATCTATCTATCTATCTATCTATCTATCTATCTATCTATCTATCCATCCATCCATCCATCCATCCATCTATCCATCCATCTATCTATCTATTTATCTATCTATCTATCTATCCTCTATATCTCTTTATCAATCTATCCATCATCTATATTTATTTCTATATCTGTCTGTCTGTCTCTCTCTCTCTCCTATCTTTTCTCTTGTAGGGTCTCCTGCGTGGGTGAGGGGGGTGTTGTTGTATTAGATGACCTACAAGGTCCCTTCCAACTCTGTTAATCTAATCGAATCTAAACTAATCTAATCTAACCTCTCTCTCTCTCATGCAATAAAGAATTGCATGAGAGAATTGCACAAGAACCTAGTCAACGAATCTAGTCTTAATCTGATTTATTAAGCGCCAGTCAATCTGATGTATTACTCATGCAATAAAGAATTGCAGAAGAATCCAGTCAACGAATAATCAGCACTAAATGGGTGCTCGATAAGAGTCAATGGAATTCAAGAGGGGTTGGACCTAGACTCCCTGTGGGAATGTAACGGTTCCAGGTTAATTCCTTGCTTGACTCCACCCCCGTCCTTCTTCCTACAAAAATAATAGTAGAATCTGGGAAAGATGGAGACAGAAGGGACCCTTAAGACCATCTAGCCCAGCCCCCCTGCATTGTTTAAGGAAAGCAAGGGGACCATCCTTGAGAGATGGCCAGCCGGTTTCTTTTGAAAAGACCCCAGAGATGAGATTTGAACCCGCCTCCAGAAATGAGAATGGAACACGCTGCCCTCGCAGCATGATGGCTTTTGAGTTCTGCAGAACCTCTCTGGATGTTGGCAGGAATAATCTACTAAAGGTGTCCATGGAAAAAATGGCTTTAACCTGCCCCTCCCCCAATCTTACCTAGGCTTCTTAGCTGCTCGTTCGCTTCCCCTCAGTTTTTCACCCAAAACTAGTTTGCTTTTGAAAAAACGGCCAGTGATTACATCCTCTTCAAATTTAAATTAGATGTTTAAATTAAAAACAGAAAGGAGGAGGAGGAGGAGGAGGAGGAGGAGGAGGTGAAAGCCCGCAGACGATGAAAAATCGAACAGCGGGCTCGCAAAACCTGCCTTATGGAAAAGAAGAAAGGAAAAAAACTCGCTGCATAAACTATGCATTTATTCAAAGAGCTGTCCTTTCAACCCTTGTCTTGCCTGAGAGAGATTGGCCTGGCCCAGCATTTAAAATTCTACTTGATGTACCCCAGCTGCTATTTTAAAAAACTATTTTGTTTCTCTCGGGTTTTTTTTTTTTTTTTGCCCATGTGTTTCTCTCTGTGTTTCCGTGGATGATTTCAGCCTTTGCTCGAGGAAATTAAGTTTTGCTGGCTGCAGGTCGTATGGACTGCCAACGAGGGAGTTTTTGCAATTTGAATTCTTCTCGCTTGCATCTCGATCTTTGACCTGGCAAGCTTTCCTCCGTTCTGTGGGTCCCCCATGTCCACTTGGAAAAAGAGGGAGCTGGCGTGGAATGGCCCCAATTTGTCCAGGGTCCAAGCCTTGGAGACAGGCAAGGTCAGGAAACAGAGGCCTGAAGAAATCTACAGCCCTTATTTTATTGCTTGTAATAACAGAAGCCCTGTAATATTAAAGGAGAATATTTGTAGCTCGGGATTAAAATGAAAGGTGCTCGGTGCTTTTTGAGCTGGGTGGCTTTCTTGCAGACGTTTCATGACCCAAATAGATAATATCATCAGTCTTCATTGGGAATGAGATTTGCAGGCAGGGGGGAGGAAGAGGAGGGTTATTATAATTGTGATTCTTACCTTGGTGCTCTCTGAGCTTGCTTTTTTTTCCCTTGCAGACGTTTCATGACCCAACTAGGTAACATCATCAGTGCTTCTAGGGAATGAGGAGGAGAAGGAGACCGAGAGATACTAAAAACATCAAGACAGGGCAAGCTTTAGTTTCTTTCTCACACTTTCCTGCTTTCTGCAACTGAGCTCAGGTTTTGCTAACCGTCTTTGCGTGCCCTTTCCAGGGTCGTCTCTCTCTGTCCTTCTACACGCGGCTCATTTCACACAAACCCTGTTCAGGGTGGAAGGGAAGCCATTGTTAGTTTAGCCCACTACCACCAAGGCTTTTGTTAAGCCATTTGAAAGCAACTCCTCCCTGGATTTGGGGCGAGCGGCAGCTGCAGTCAAAAGACCATCACACTCCTTTCCTTCTTCAGATTTAAGAGAAAAGAAACTCGGCTATAGGGCAGGATTTTATTCATTTTATTTCATGTACAAAACGTATTCGCTACTCACCTGTCTCTCCAGAAATTGGTTTTCTTGGACTAAGAGGGAATGAATTATTGGGTATGTTCTGTTTCTCTTCCAGAATTCCCCTGGGGGGGACGGACTGCCTCTCCCTCCCCCTCGCCAGTGTCCTCTTGTGAGGGTGATATTTTTTTTTTCATCTTGGCAAGCTGCTTTATAGATAATTGGACAGTCAGGAGGGTGCGGCTAAGAGTTTCCATCAATTAGTATTAATTTCACATCACAGCCGTGGATTGAATGTACTCTGGGCTCAATGGCAGATCAGCAAATCCGGCCTCGTATTGTTTTTTTCCTGATTAGATTTTAGGGATCACCGTTCAGCTCCACCCTTTCCCATCAGATGTCTTTCTCGTGTGGGAAGAAAATTTTGCCGCGAGAGCTTTGCTGGTTGTTCTTTGGGTCACCAAAGCAATGGTGCCTAATCACGTGCTACAGATCAGCATTTCTCAAAGTTGTCCACTTTAAGACAGGTGGGCTTCAACTCCCAGAATTCTCCAGCCCTTTCTCCAACTGCCAAGTTTAAGACAGATGGACTCCAATCCCCAGAATTCCTCGTTCCATTCTCAAACAGGCAACTTTAAGATAGGTAGACTACAACTCCCAGAATTCACCAGCCCTTTCTCAAACTGCCAAATTTAAGATTGGTGGACTCCAACCCCCAGAATTCCTCAGTTCCACTCTCAAAGTGGGCCTCTTTAAGATGTGTGGACTTCAACTCCCAGAGTTCCTTAGCCCAGCCATGCTGGGAATTGAAGTCCATGAATGCTGGGCTGGGGGATTCTGGGAGTTGAAGTCCACACGTCTTCAAGCGGCCAACTTCGAGACACGCTCTTGTCCACTGTTCACAAGTTCTCCATCCGGTCGCCCATTTGAGCAAAAGAGGAAAAACACTCGCTCGTTTTCTTCGTAGAGGGGAAGCCGTGTTCCTCTCGGGTTGCCAAAAATCAGAGCAAATAGGACCGGCTATTCTGACCGACGTGTTTTATTAAAAGCCAGAGACTTTTTTATGTGCTACACTAAACTAAAAAGAGAATGAACTCCAGATGTTGGAGAGGCAGGAACTCCGTGGAGAAAATGCCAAGCTGCCGTGATGATTGTATTTTCTTCACAGTTGGATCTGCCTCGTCTTTCACCCCCTTTAGCTGTATCTGCCGGCAACATCCTCGGCCAGAGGTGTTGCATGATGTGCTAATGGGTTGTTCTTGCAAACAGCTTGTCGGTGTCTGTAGTCCAGATTCCTTGGAGAGAAATCACAAGGGTTCTTTGTAGCTGGAGAAAGAAATGTCACCCGGTGGCCTTCTCAAGGTCTCCTGTGATGTTGAAGACTCTAGAAAGGAGAGCGACAAAATTAAGAGGCTGCAGGCTGAAACACAGGAAGAAGGGTTGGCAGGAATTGGGTATGTCTAGTTTAACGAAAAGGGACGCGGTGGCTCAGGGGCTAAGACGCCGAGCTTGTCGATCAGAAAAGTCGGCAGTTCGGCGGTTCGAATCCCTAGCGCCACATCATGGAGTGAGCTCCCGTTCCTTGTCTCAGCTTCTGTCAACCTAGCAGTTCAAAAGCATGTAAAGAATGCAAGTAGAAAAATAGGGACCCCTTTGGTGGGAAGTGAACAGCATTCCATGTGCCTTTGGGGTTTAGTCATGGTTGCCACATGACCACAGAGACGTTTTTGGACAGTGCTGGCTACTCGGCTTTGTAATGGAGATGAGTACCGCCCTCTAGAGCTGGGAACGACTAGCACAGATGTGCGAGGGGAACCTTTACTTTTACCTTTTAGTTTAATGAAAAGAAAAACTAGGCATGACATGATAGCAGTCTTCCAATATTTGAGGGGCTGCCACAAAGAATAGGGGCAGGGTCAAATTATTGTCCAAATTATTGTCTGGCAACATTGAACATGTCTCCAATGTTTATATATATACATACATACGTGTGTGTGTGTGTGTGTGTGTGTGTGTGTGTGTGTGTGTATCTATATGAGAGATTACTTCTTTTGGGAGCGACGATGATTCAAAAAACTCATTCCCCTTACTAGGCTGAACGGGGGTGTTTTTCCTTCAATCTGATCTAAATAGTCATTGATTTTTTTTGGTGCACTCAACCATCTGGAGGAAGCGCATTTTTCTCTTGCGTTTTGTGAAGCAACGGGAGTTATATAATTGAAACAATTCATCTCTCTCTCTCTCTTTTTTTTTGCAAAAATTTGGATTATGTTGACAGAGATCTTAGGGAATCTTCTTCCC